GGGAAGATGATGTCTGAACAAAATAAGAATATCAATAAAGAAATAGAAATGATGAAAAGCAACCAAGTAGGAGTTCTGAAGCTGAAAAAGTATAATAACTGAATTGAAAAACTCACTTGAGGGGCTCAGAATCAGATTGGTGCAGGTTGAAAAAGGATTAATGAATTTGGGGTCAGTTGGAATTACCCAACCTGAAGAGCAGAAAGACGAAAAGAATAGAGAAACATGAAGAGAGCTTTAGAGATCTGTGGGAAGAGCTGTCCCTTTTCCCATCTAGCTCTCTGCTGTGGCCTGGGAAAGCAGTGGAAGATGACCCAAGTCCTTGGGCTCCTGCACCCACGTGGGAGACCAGGAAGAAGCACCTGTCTCCTGGCTTCAGATCGGTGCAGCTCCGGCCGTTGCAGCCAACTGGGGAGTGAACCAATGGAAGAAAGACCTTTCTCTCTGTCCATTCTCTCACTGTCTGTAACTCCGACTCTCAAATAAAATCTTTTAGAAAAAGGCAATAAGAATTAAAACAGTAATTATAAATATGCTAATGAGCACATAAGGGAGTTTTAAAGTGTCCATGAAAATATAATTATGTTTAATTTGAAATTTTGCAAAAAAAGTTTCATCTGCTCATAGTTTTTTCAAAATACACATTTTCTGTGTACTTTTTGAAGCTTCCTCGAACATTATATATAGTTGTAATCTGACAATGATGATATAAAGAGAAGGGACAAAAACGGAGTCAGTAGTTAGATTTCTACAAGTTAAGGATGTTAATTGTAATCCCCAAGGTAACCACTGAGAAAAAAACTCTAAATATAATCAGAAAGGGAAAGAAGGGGATAAAAAAAAATGGTACAAAAAATGAACTGAATGCTAATGGAGAACTTGAGCACCAAAATATACTCGCTTTCTTTTTGTTATGATTGCGTGAATATCATTTTCCCTCTCACTTTCCATATATGTAATCTTTGTTACTACTTGCATGGAATATCATTTTCTGACTTTTTAATTTCCATATTTGTAAATTTGTGTTCTTATATCTAAAGTGAGTCTCTACACATGTATAAATGGAGCCACAGTTTTTTTTTTTTTTTTTTTTTTTTTTTATCAAATCTGACCATCTCGGGGCAGCGGTGTGGCCCAGCAGTGAGCTTCTGCCCAGAGCGCCAGCCTCCCAAGTGGCAGTGCCCGTTAGAGTCCCTGCTGTTCTGCTGCCCATGCAGCTCCCAGATAACGTGCCTGGGAGGCAGGAGATGAGAACCCAAGTACTTGGGCCCCCGCCTCCCGCCTGGGAGACATAGATGGCGCTCAGGGCTCCTGGCCTCGGCCTGAACCGAACCAGCCCTGGCCAGCTGAGCCGTGAACTAGTGGATCAAGATACTCATCATTCCTTCATTCTCTCCCTCCCTTCCTCCCTCCCTCTCTCTCCCTCCATTCTCCCCTTCAAGTAAATAGATAAACATTTTAAAAACCATTTTTCACTGCTTCATGGAAGAGCTTTGTCTTTTTACATCTAACCTGATGACTGATAAGAAGGGATTTATCTCTTTAAAGAGCCTATCTGGAGTTATTACAATCAGAGGTATTAGAGCTGGATTTTAGCAAATGAATTTTGGTGAGGAAAGGACACAGTTGAGCCCTTAATAGAGCTAATAAATGTATTCAAAGGTTATAAAACCAGTACACAAAATCAGTTGTATTTTTATGTACCTGCAATGAACTGTCCTGAATGAAACACAACTGCATTTACAATAGCCTCACAAAGAATAAAATATTCAGAAATAAATTTAACTAAGAGACGGAAAACGTATACAGTGAAAACCATGAAATGTGGCTCAAAGGAATTTTAGAAGACTTAACTAGTTGAAACGGCATCTCATATTCATAGATTAGAAGAAATAATATTATTGAGATAAAGGATTAAGTTAGGGTTAATACACAGAAAATTAAGTCTGCTCAAGCAAAACATCTTTAATCCAATAGAGAATAGGAAATTGTACATGAGAGTAAGATTATCGTAGTTGACCATGTGCCTCTCCTGTGAATGGCCTGGTTTTTAAAGGAATAGCTTTACCGAGTTCATAGCTTACATATGTGCCGTTAATTTATTCCTTAAAGCACATCGTTCAGTGGACTTTAGTGGATCCTTAGTGTGGTGCCTGCCTGCTCTTGTGGGACCAGCACCCGTGGACCGTAGAACGCTTGCATGGCCCCACCCAGAATCCCTTCCTGTTTCCCTGCACACCCCTGACCCTGGGCTCCCGCCAAGCCCTAAGCAGCGAGCGGTGTCTGTAGATCCCGAACTGAGATTGCATACAGATGGACTCATTCACTCCATGGTCTTTCGGGGCTGCCTCCTGTCGCTTAGCGTGATGTCTTCAAGGTTCATGCGTGTTGTACGTGTCAGTACTTAATTTCATTATACTGCTGGATACTATGACTGTGTAGACCGTATTGTGTTTATTCCTGGGTGAGCTGGGCCACCGGTGGACGCTGGAGCTGTTTCCATTTGTGGCTGTTGTGAATATTGCCGCGGTGCGTGCTCACGTTCCAGGCCTTATGTGGACGTGTCATTTCTCCTGCGTGTGCAGGCCTGGGACTGCTGGGTTCCAGGGCAGCTGGGAAAAGCTAAGGAGTTCCCGGAGACACCAGGAGCCGGAGGAGGCCAGGAGGGGTTTTCAAAGCATCGGGAGAGACGGTGGCCTTGCTGACACTTGGGCTTCTAATTTCTGACTTCAGAATGGAGAGCCTAAAGTTTATTCTAAGCTACCGTCTTTGTGGTGATGTTTTGGGGCAGCCTAAGCCAACTAAGGCAGCCTCCCAGTGACGGCTCCTGGTGGTTTTTATTTCGAGCCTCCTTTTGTGCGCTTACTGGCCATTTGTGTATTTTTTTTTAAAGAAATGTCTGTTTAGATCCTTTACTCTTTTTGGCTCACTCGCCTTTCCTCTTATGATTGGTTTAGAAGTGTGCTGTGCTTGTGTGTGTATTTGCCATACAAGTCCCCAGGGCACAGAAAATTTACATTTGTTGTCATTTTCTGGAGCTGGTCTTTTCGCATTCTCGATGATGTCCTTTGAAGCACAAGTCATTAATTTTAATGAAGTACAATTCATCTAAGAGTTTTAAAAACTACTTTTAACTCTTGGATTTCAGCGTGTGCGATCCATCTTGAGTTCCTGTTAGCGTCTGATAAGAGGTAAGGGTGCAGGTTCACCTTTGCTTGTGCCTTCCCACTTGTCTGTGGGTAGCTTTAATGTGGTAGAGACAACACTGGCAGTGTCCTAGAAGAATCTAACTATGGGGGGCAGGGTGGGGGATGGGCAGGAAGGATGCCCAGACCGTGGTGGGCTGGGAAGGAAGCAGAATCAGTGTCCTCATCTCCCAGAGAGCCACGTGGCTGAAGAAGGCGCAACGCAGAAGTCGGGTGGTAGCAAGCTCGCTGTGCTTTAGGGGCCCAGAGGTACACAGGATGCCTAAAGAATAAACATGGTGAATGTGGTGACCTCGGTGAGGATTGAAACAGATGGACCAGCAATCACTGGTTTTCACAGCCTATTCTCAAAACTTAGGTCTAATTATTGTGTGCAATTTGGTAAGATCTTTTTAGAAAGCACCAAGCAATAATGGGAAGACTCCGGATAAGGAGAGGCATGAGAGAAGCCCTAGTTAGATACTCGGGTGTGTCACAGTGTCGCAGCAGTTACAGGTGTGCCGTCGAGGCATACAGGTGTGCCAGAAGGTCGGTGGGACAGAGGACGCGATCCAGGCACGGACGGAAATGCTTACAGGAAGTAGCGTGTGCTAGAGGGAGGATTCTGGATCAGTGTGGAAAGACGGGTGACTCCCTAGAAGACGTTGGGATAAGTAGGTCGGTGTTCAGTGGGAAAACCTGGTTGGATCCAGGCTTCATGCCTGGATCATGAAACAAGGGGTTAGAGACTTAAAGTACAGTTGTCGAAGCGCTAGAAGAAAAAAAAAACACCTTTAACAAACACTGGGAAAAGAGACAGGAGATGGGAGGACGTATGTGTGCCCACTTTCCTCTTGTTTATGGCATGAAGGGATATAATAGGACGCGCCAGAAATAGACGCTTGCCATTTCTGATGTGGCCTTTAAAGGTTCACGGGTTCTCATCATCTCCTTTGTTAACCCTAGAGGTGTATTTTTAGGAACGGATCTCCTGAGGTAAAGAGACCTTTATCTCCTGGTCCATAGAGATGACAAAGTGTGTGTTAAGATGAGTGGAAGTCTTCCTCTTCTGTTCAGTACAGTGGAGTCTAATCTTTTTGTTATAAGTAACTGTATGTGATACCTTTGTAGTAAAAAATTTTATTTTTACTGCGCATGTATCAGCAATCGATGTCAGTGGGATTATTTTATAAATGTCAAGTTAGCCGTTGTGGATTGCAGCTCGCCAAACGTGGCCTCCCGCGTGGAGTGGTTCAGAGGAGCGGCACTGGGAGCAGGGCTGCCTTAGGGGACAGGGCCACACTGAAGGGGCTCAGGGGTTCTCTCGAGGCACCGGCCCGCGGCCTTGGGGGCCGGAACCGGGAAGGACGCGAGCCTTGCTCTGAAGCAGCGCAGACGGTGTCCTGCGTCTCTCTGAATCACTGGCCCTGTGTCACTTCTCTTCGTAGGTTTTATTTGAGTAAGGACATCGTAGGCAAGTGGTCAGACTGTCGGAGGCACGGTCTCGGGCTTCAGCCCACACAGCAGCTTTGTGCATTGCTAGGACTCTGTAAACGTTTGAAAACTGAATTCTGTTAATAGATTTTTTGTTTGTTTGTTTCACTCCAGCTGAGCCAAACGGAGGTCAGCACGTTAGTACAGCTCTTCCCGGGCTGCGGCCAGCAGCTCCCGTCACAGGCGTGGAGTTGGGATCATTCATTGCAGATGGAATCTCTGCAAGCTGCTTAGAGCCTGCTGCCTTCAGAGAAGTGGAGAGCCTGTCCAGCAGAGGGTTCCGTCTCCGCTAACCTCAGCCCTCTCTCTCCCCTCTTCCAGGTGTATCATACTTTGTTTTGGCCTCTCGAATGGACGGTAGCCGGCAGAGACAACAATACTTGTTATGCAAAGATAATCTGCAACAAACTGGACCAGGTATGTAATCCCTGGAATTTTAATTGTAGCTTTTATCCCTACTTATTTGGATTTTAATAATTTCTTGAAAGATAACTTTTCAGGGCAAGATAGAAGTCCTTCACATGGTTTTCTAGTAGATGTATCTGCAGAGGCTACAGAGGGACGGTTTGTTGGGGTTTACCAGTGCTCTCTCCATGTACATCACTGGAAGTTGTCACTCCCCAAAGCTGTCTTTTGAGCCGGCGCCATGGCTCAATAGGCTAATCCTCCACCTTGCGGCGCCGGCACACCGGGTTCTAGTCCCGGTTGGGGCGCCGGATTCTGTCCCGGTTGCCCCTCTTCCAGGCCAGCTCTCTGCTATGGCCAGGGAGTGCAGTGGAGGATGGCCCAGGTGCTTGGGCCCTGCACCCCATGGGAGACCAGGAAAAGCACCTGGATCCTGGCTCCTGCCATCGGATCAGCGCGGTGCGCCGGCTGCAGCGGCGGCCATTGGAGGGTGATCCAACGGCAAAGGAAGACCTTTCTCTCTCTGTCTCTCTCTCTCACTGTCCACTCTGCCTGTCAAAAAAAAAAAAAAAAAACAAAAAAACAAAAAAACTGTCTTTTAAAAAAGTGTGATTTATCTATTTTTATTCATCTGAAAGGCAGAGAGACATAGAGACAGACAGAGAGCCCCCATCTGCTGGTTCACTTCCCCAAATGCCTGTGACAGCTGAGGCTGGGCCAGGCTGAAGCAGGGAGCCCAGAACTCTGTGCGGGTGGCAGCATCCGATTACTTGAGCCATCACCACCGCCTCCCACATCAGGAAGCTGGAACAGGAAGCGGATCTGGGATTTGAATCCACCAGGACGGCTCCCATACAGGACGAGTTCGTCCCAGGCACCGTCGTAACCACTGCACCCAGTGCCTGCCTTGCCCCCACCATGGCTATTGAAGCAGCTGGGTGGTTTAGAACTGGGTAATCTGTGAAGATCTTGGTCATGTGAGTGCCACGTGTGCCCGAAACATGGGTAAAGAGACCCTGGGACTGGACCTCAGACGTGGGGGCACTGCCTACAACCTGGGAGCAGCCACATCTGTCTCCTGCGGTGGCTCCACCAGCCAAGCCCCAAGTTGTCTCTCTTGCGCCAGTGGGGCCCAACAGCCATGTACCAGAGCCCATAGAAAGAGATGCTTGGGGCTGGCGCTGTGGCGTAGCAGGTAAAGCTGCCACCTGTGACACTGGCATCCCACATGGGCCCTGGTTCGAGTCCTGGCTGCTCCACTTCTGATCCAGCTCCCTGCTAATACACCTGGGAAAGCAGCAGAAGATGGCCAAGTGCATGGGTCCCTGCACCCATGTGGGAGACCCAGAAAAAGCTCCTGGCTTCAGTATGGCCCAAGCCCAGGCTGTTGTGGCCATTTGGGGAGTGAATCAGCAGATGGAAGACCTCTCTCTGTCTCTCTGTAACTGTGCCTTTCAAATAAATAAAAATAAATCTTAAAAAAGGAAAAGAGGCTCACAGCACATGAGATTCTTAGGGATTGAGCTGAGTGCTGAGGAAGCTTCCCATGAAGGCAGCAGCAAGGGGCGGAGAGGCTGTGGGCAGAACTCCCTCCCCTCCTGCTGCAGCTCGCTTGCGACTTGCTATAGAAAGGAGGCCGGTGGAGACGGCAGTGTGAATGCTCAGCTCTTGTCGCCTTAAGAGTTCGTAAACGGTCTTGGGAGGTAAAACCTCAAAACAGGTCAAGGTGAGCAGCAGGAGGTGACACCGACGTGCAGTTCACCACGTAGCACAGCCGTTCCCTAGTTTAATTCTCACCTGTCTCTGTGTCTTTGGTCCCCGTGCGACTGGAAATGGGTGTCACAGCCATCAGCACGCGCTCCATGCCTGCATGGCGAAGCCACTCGGGGCATCAGGACTCCCTGCTGGGCGCAGTTGCTGGGTGCGGGGCGGTGCAGAGCCCCAAGGGGCGTGTTGGTCCCAGTTGCTGGGTGCAGGGCGGTGCTGAGCCCCGAGGGGCATGTTGGTCCCAGTTGCTGGGTGCAGGGCGGTGCAGAGCCCCGAGGGGCGTGTTGGTCCCAGTTGATGGGTGCAGGGTGGTGCAGAGCCCCGAGGGACGTGTTGGTCCCAGTTGATGGGTGCAGGGTGGTGCAGAGCCGCGAGGGGCGTGTTGGTCCCAGTTGATGGGTGCAGGGTGGTGCAGAGCCCCGAGGGGCGTGTTGGTCCCAGTTGATGGGTGCAGGGTGGTGCAGAGCCGCGAGGGGCGTGTTGGTCCCAGTTGATGGGTGCAGGGCGGTGCAGAGCCCCGAGGGGCGTGTAGGTCCCAGTTGATGGGTGCAGGGCGGTGCAGAGCCCCGAGGGGCGTGTAGGTCCCAGTTGATGGGTGCAGGGCGGTGCAGAGCCGCGAGGGGCGTGTTGGTCCCAGTTGATGGGTGCAGGGTGGTGCAGAGCCCCGAGGGGCGTGTAGGTCCCAGTTGATGGGTGCAGGGCGGTGCAGAGCCCCGAGGGGCGTGTAGGTCCCAGTTGATGGGTGCAGGGCGGTGCAGAGCCGCGAGGGGCGTGTTGGTCCCAGTTGATGGGTGCAGGGTGGTGCAGAGCCCCGAGGGGCGTGTAGGTCCCAGTTGATGGGTGCAGGGCGGTGCAGAGCCCCGAGGGACATGTTGGTCCCAGTTGATGGGTGGGTGCAGAGCCGCGAGGGGCGTGTAGGTCCCAGGTGATGGGTGCAGGGCGGTGCAGAGCCCCGAGGGGCGTGTAGGTCCCAGTTGATGGGTGCAGGGCGGTGCAGAGCCCCGAGGGACGTGTTGGTCCCAGTTGATGGGTGGGTGCAGAGCCGCGAGGGGCGTGTAGGTCCCAGTTGATGGGTGCAGGGTGGTGCAGAGCCCCGAGGGGCATGTTGGTCCCAGTTGATGGGTGGGTGCAGAGCCGCGAGGGGCGTGTTGGTCCCAGTTGCTGGGTGCAGGGCGGTGCAGAGCCCCGAGGGGAGTGTTGGTCCCAGTGGATGGGTGCAGGGCAGTGCAGAGCCCCAGGGGGCGTGTTGGTCCCAGGGGCCCGATGCCGCTGGGGTGGACAGGTTTGCAGCCGGGCTCCCAGGGCTGGTGGTGCTGCGGTCTGGTTACATTCCCATTCTCAGTGCCAAGTGCGTCCTTTGGGGCTGACACCATGGCTGTGGAGGGCAGCCTTTCCAGCGGAGCGCGGAGTGGCGGTCGGGCCGACTGGCGAGAGAGAGAGGGAGTGGACTTGGGGTCCGGCTGGTGGAGTCACTGCTGCGGGAAGCAGACCGCGCCTGCTCCCAGGCTGCAGGCAGAGGCCCCGGCCCCAAGGCACAGTCCCAGAGTTCCTCCCCCATGTTCCAGCACCCCCTCCTGCCACCTTCCACTCACACCCTCACCTGCTGACTGGCCTCTGCTGTCCTCCATCGAAAGGTCCATTTCTGAAGTCTGCCCTAGTCCTTGTGAAACGGAGACACTGTTTTACTGCAGATAAGGCCGTGTGGCGTCCCCGGCCTGGCACGTGCCTTCCCCGGCCTGGCACATGCCTTCATTTTCAGTGGTCAGTGGAGGTTTGCCCCCACATCTCCTCCCTTTTCTCTGGGCTGTCTCTTGCTTCTGGCCTGCTGTGGCATGCATGGGGGTCCTGGGAACGCCCCTTTGCACCTGTGGCCCAGGAGGCCTCTGCCCAACTCCCTCCTAACAACCTGCTCTTGGAGCTGTGAATGGGTGCTAGGCAGGCGTGTGTGAGGTTGTGTGTTGTGAACAGTGGCTGTGTGTGCAGAATCCACGTGGACAAAGTTCCACTAGCCTCGGCCTTCACTGCCCCTTTGAATACTCTATCTGTTGTGCACCTGTACTACTGAAAATCAAACACAGAGTCTGATGAAAAGTAATCGACCAAAGGCCAGCCTCAAATGTGCTGTTACCTTGAAAATGGACCAAGCCCCAGCTTCCGTCTCAGAGGGTCTGCAGATCATGTCCCCGGGTCCCTCCCTGCACGCAGTCCCAGGTGACTGTGCCACGCTGGCCACTCCCTGACCTCTGCTCAGGGCTGGCAGCAGGCCTCGCTCCCTGGGCGGGCAGTCTCGTGTATTTCCAGAAAGACCTGCCACCTTAGAAGTAGCCCAGCGTTGGACTTTAATTCAGATTGGTTATGTTGTTGTTAGCACCATCTCAGCATAATTTGGAAATTTACATCATACTAATGAACTCCTTCATGCAGTGGGTAAATTGCTTGTTCTAGTAAATTTGAGTGCAAATTAACTCTGGATGTGCATTTACTGGCTCATTTAGCAGATTGTGTTCTCTGCCGAGTTCAACCTGCGAGCTCTTTGTCTGTCCTCCACGCTGTCCCTTCCGCTGTGCAGCTGCAGCAAGTGGGTGCCGAGGCAGACTGGTAACCTCCCGGGTCCTCTCTGCTTTGTTCCCGTTACAGGATAGGGTGATAGGGTTCCACGTGCTTGGACCCAACGCCGGGGAGATCACCCAGGGGTTTGCAGCTGCCATGAAATGCGGGCTCACGAAGCAGCTCCTGGATGAGACCATTGGGATCCACCCCACCTGCGGCGAGGTAGGAACCAGGAGGGCTTCAGAACTGGCTTCAATTGGTGTCTTTTCAGACACAGAGGAATTTTGAATCGCAGCTGCTGTGTGGGTTTTACAGGCTAGCTCAGAGGCAGCGTTCCCAGTGTCTTCTTAAAGCGTCGCTGGCCTTTAAATCTGCCTGTGTCTTGTTTCCTTCCTTGCGAACAGGTATTCACCACTCTGGAGATCACCAAGTCCTCGGGCCTGGCCGTCACTCAGCAGGGCTGCTGAGGCTAGTTAGTGCTGCCGCCGCGTCGTCCTTGTCACGCTCGCCTCTCTCAGCGACGGGCCGCGCTCTCGACCCCAGCCCGAGGCGGTGCGAAGGTGGACAAGGAGACGGGACAGCAGCAGGTGTCGCCAGCCCTACCCTGCCGTCTGGAGAAGCAGCGCGCTGCTGCCTTGACGCCCTGGCTCGGAACCCGCCGTCGGGTGAGCCCCGGCCGACTCTCCTGCAGGTCTGGGTCGAGCCGCCCCTGGAAGGCTCTGGAGTGGCACCGTTAACCCAGCTCCCCTTTCTCGTTCCTAGCGTCGTTACTCCCTTGTTGTTGATGTGAAAATATACTACCTATTAGGAAACTGTGCGGTGGCGACTGTCAGTGTGGGGGCCCGGATGGCGCCCGGGCTTGCTGGGGAGTGGGGTCTGTGGGGGTGTAGGGGCAGAGGACTGGGGTGCCGTGGTGGCTAAGGCACCTGCTGCGCTGTGCGTGCCTGCTCCACCCTGGCCCGCGTTTCCCGATGGTGATCACCAGACCAAACAGCAGCTCAGGCAAGGAGGAAAATACTCGCATTTCTCGTGTGGGTTTTAACAGTGAGATTTACAAAAGCATTCAACGCTTAGTAAAGGGGTCCAGTCACAATCTGTGTGATGGGAGCCAGGTTCAGTCAGCGAGCAGGTGGTACTGAGAGGCCCTGTTTGATTTACAGCCGGGTCGGCGTGCACGGCCCTTGGAGCTGGCCACACGGGAGCTGGACCCCAGTTTCCAGGAGGCCTTGCTCTTCTAGAGCGACACCCTGAGCCTGTCAGCCCAGCGCCACAGGCCTGGCCAGTTCAAGGTCAGAATTTTGAGGCACAAAGTTTTCTTAAAGGTTAAACCAGCGAACGATTGGGCCCTGGCATCTGGAGAGAGGAGCTGTGCCCCTGGTGGCAGGAGGTGGAGCCCAAAGAAAACTGACCAGAGGTTCAGCCACTGGGCAGAGAGAAATCCAGGTCAGAGGTCAGGCAGGGTAGTGTGCCAGCTGCCACTGAGGCCAGAACAGTGCAGTGGGAAATGGGATGGTGCCAGGGAGTGGGGGTGGAGTGGGGGGGGTTAGTTAAGGACCCCGTGCTCTGAGCCCAGTGGTGTCGCAGACTGAAAGCAGTGGGGAGAGGCTCCGCAAGGCGCTCCCAGCGTGGATGAAACACTGGGTGCAGCAGGAAAGCTGTTCCGGGGGTTGCTGCATTGCTGGGCACCCCCCCCCCAACACACTGGCACAGAGCCACGGTGTTCCAGGATTCCAAAGGAAATGAACCAGAAAGCTCGGAAACCTTGAACTTGGGCAGCCGTGCCCCAGGTGGAGTTCCCTGGTGAGAAACCTGTGTGTAGCGCTGGGCCCCGGGCAGGCTCCATCCGAGCGGAAGGGCGAGGGAGAAGGCAGCTGGCCCCGGAGGCGGGCGGCCCAGCAAGAATCCCCCCAGGACTCGGGAGCTGCCGGCCCAGCTGCAGAGCGCAGGCAAGGCTGGTGGCCTCTGCGAGGAGGGGAGAGACTTGCACACGACGTGCCTCTCGCTGCTCCCTCTCACCTCCTTCTGTTCCTCCTTTGTTCCTTCTCCCTTCCTCCTTTCTGCTCTCCTGGGATAAAGGTGACCGCTGTGTAATGGGCAGAGATTAGTTTTGGCTGGAAGATGAGACTTTTACATCTAATAACGTAACAGCCACTTCCAGACCTTCAAGGACAAAATGACACCCTCCACTGCGGTGGAGACTTTAGTACACTTGTGTGGTTCACGAGAGCAAACACACACACGCGCACACACAGACACACTCGGGACCGACTGAGATTTCAGCAGTACAAGGAACAGCCGTGATTGAATGAGCTTAGGAAGATGGTTCGGCAGGAAAACATAACTCCTTGCAGTGGCAAATTCACCCTGTACCAGGCCAGGAGGGTTGGCAGATTCCAAAGGCTTGTATCGTCATTCGGTCAGAGGATTGAGCTGCGTGGGCCGTGCTGGGAACGCCAGAACGCTGAAAAACCCATGCAGTACAATGGAAAGTGGACTCTAGGGGTGGCGGAGATGAGGCTGCCTAGGTTTCAAACCAGGATCCGGTGCACAAGAAGCCGGGAACTGGATCCTAGGCTCTCAGGAATGACCCGCTCATGAAGGTCTGGCCCCGTGCCCTGCTCGCGGTGACGGGATCAGTTGCTTGACTTGGCCGATTCACTTACTAAGGGTGGACGTCATTGCTTGTTTCACAGACCTGAAAGAATTGAGCAGCACCAAGTTCCCAGCGTCCAGTGCATCAGGGCAGGGCCCAGCTTCTGAGAGGGTGAGCCAGGGCTCTTTAAGGGACGCCCTTGGAGCCACACAGCACTGGGGCTCGGCAGCGGGAGGAAGAGGCGGCCTCCCAAGTTGGCTCCCCAGCTGCTGGTAGTCCGATCCCCGTGTCCTCCCGTCCCCCATCCACCAGGTTGGCCTGTGGGACGGGAGCGTAGGGCGGGTGATGGCCTGTGCCGTGTAAGATCAGGTCCTGAAACTGCACCTTCCCTGTCAATTGCCCTGGGGGAAGGCAGTGGTGGTGTCAGGAGGAAGCTCAGGCGCAGAGCCCCACGTGTCAGCAAGAGACAGGCGTGCCGGACCCCTGCCAGTGAACGTGGGAAAAGCAAGACTTCAGCCAAGCCCTCCCCGGGCCAGCACCCTGACCACGTCCTTTGAGAAACTTTGAGCTAGAACCTTCCAGTTTGGCTGCTCCTTGCTTCCTGGCCCTCAGAAACCAAGAGAATGCGCCTTTTTAAATTTAAGCTTCTAGTAGTAACTAGGTGCATTTTTTTTTTTTTTTGACAGAGTGGACAGTGAGAGAGAGAGAGAGAGACAGAGAGAAAGGTCTTCCTTTGCCGTTGGTTCACCCTCCAGTGGCCGCCGCGGCGCGCTGATCCAATGGCAGGAGCCAGGTGTTTCTCCTGGTCTCCCATGGGGTGCAGGGCCCAAGTACTTGGGCCATCCTCCACTGCACTCCTGGGCCACAGCAGAGAGCTGGCCTGGAAGAGGGGCAACCGGGACAGAATCCGGCGCCCTGACCGGGACTAGAACCCGGTGTGCCGGCGCCGCTAGGCGGAGGATTAGCCTATTGAGCCACGGCGCCAGCCAATAACTAGGTGCATTGTAATAGATGACTAATATGCTTACTAGGTAACATTAAAATTGTTAGTCCAGATCGGCTAAGTGCAGTGCCCTGGGTGACCGTATTCCTAGGACAGACAAAATAAACCTGAACGTAACTCGGGAGGTCAACAGAAAGGGACTGGTGCTCAGATGGGGGTGGGACTCACCTTGTCATCACTGCGAGGACACCGTAAGCAGGGAAGCCGGCGGGTGGTGTGGGGGCCTCGCTGCAGCACCTTGGAAGCAGAGGCCCCGCTAGCGTCCCAGGAGCACCTGCACTCGTCCCAGCTCGTGTGGAAGGTGACCAGGGAAGCACACGCGTCACCCCGGGGCTGTGCTTGTGAAACATGACACCGTGTTGGTCTCTGACGTGGCAGTGAGGGGAGGGTGCTCAGCCCTCAGGGAGGGGTGGGGCTGGAAGTCGTCATAGGGATATGTAAATGAGACTGTCGGTGGCCTTGACCTTGACCTTCAGAACTGAGCGCCCATGCTGGCGTCCTGCTGCTGTGGTTTCCTCTTGGACCATGGGTCTGTGTGACCAGGCCCCTCTGTCCGACAAGAAAGCCTAGGGGCTCCCTTTTGGGGGGCCACTGGAAGTCAAAACTGGGAAAGCCCCAGCCCTGACCCCTCAACACCGTCAAAGGCCTCAGTCCGCTCTCCTTTCCTTGTTCTCTGTGGCCATCCGTGCACCGGCCTGGGAAGACCTGCTCTCCCGGAGAGCCTTAGAAGTGGCCTCCAGGGCGTGCCGGCTCAGCAGTCTGAACCACGGAACCACGCTGGCTGCAGGTCCAGCCTGTTGTCTGCAGTGGGCACAGTAACCGGCACCAACAAGCAGGTGTCTAGGTGACGACTTAGCCCCTGGCGTGGTGAGGGACCACAGAGGCGTGGAGCTGGCTCTCTGGCCTGGCCCCCCACCGGCTTTGCCTGTGCTGGCGGGCGCAGAATTGGCACCACTGCTTGCTTGTGCTGAATTTCCGGAGTTTTCCGAGCCTCTGCTGAAGATGTAACTGAGCCCCACGGGACATTTCGATAACTGATATTTAGGGAGCGGAGTGTAGGATTGGAGAGCTCCGTAAAGTGGTCCCAGGTTGTGTGTCTGTCCAGGTCTGTCTGTCTGTCTGAGGTCGAGGGGTACTTGGGTGCTCCAAAAAGTCGATGGAATGAAGGATCTGATTTTGGTGCAGAAACCTTTTGAAATCGATGCGCGTGAGGGGGTCACCAAAAATTCATGGAAAATGCGTGTTGAGTCCCGAGATGCGGTCTCAGAATTTGCCCGTTCGTAGGCTGTGGTTCCCTGGTTAACCCAGGGTGCATCTCAGTGGCACCGACAGCAAGGCTTAAGCCCCTGGCCCCAGGGTGGTGCTGTGTCGTGTAGCTAGCATCTAGGCAGAGGTGGCCGGGGCCAGTGTCCCATGCTGCTGGCAGCTTTGTGGTGGCTACTTGAACCCCTGCTTTGGGCTCTTCTGGGTTGTACCAGGTCACCCAGGTCAGCTCTCGGAACTCTGTCCATCTCCCTCCCAAATTCAGGTAGATGCTTGGCTGTTGAACCTGGGGAGCAGTGAGTTCCATCCCGCTTGTCGCTTGTCGTACCGCCTGCCGGGGGGCAGTGGGGAAGTGCATATTCATTGCCACTTTCTGGGGCAGGTTCCAGGGCGGCGCTGGTGCGCTGGGCAATGTTACTGTTCGGGTGAAGTCTCTGTGGGAGGCCGGGGAGGCTGTGCACTGGGAGTGGGGTGTGGGACAGCCCTGGACTTGTCGGGCGCCTGCTCAGGGCAGACCTGCTGCGGCTCCATGGCCCCAGACCATCTTCTTCCAGCACAGAAGACCCTTGCGTGTGCTTCCTCTGCGTGAGGTTAATGGCCACAGACCACTGCGTGTGGCAGTTGCTGGTGACACCAGGGAGGAGGTTGTCCGCACTGTTTCACTGGCTCTCGCCACTTTTAAAGCAGACGCGCAGCCGGCAGCCTGATGACTGTACAAGGTGGTGCGCCCGTGAATTTAACTTCAGGTCAAAGTCAGCGAATCCCTTTAATGTCGCTGACGGCCTTAACTAGTCCATGGGCTAAAAGCTTAGCGTGATCAGAGATCCTTCTGGGTTTTAGAAGTAGTACGGACAATGCCCTGAGCTGTTCTGACCGTGGCCAGCCACATGCAGTCGCAGGACTCAGCTGTTCCCCAGTTGGGGTAGGTGTCCAGGGACCACGCCCATGACCCC